CTCGATGCTGCTGGAAAGCGAGTCATTATACTTGGAGGAAGAGATACAGCCATGGATTGTATTGGCACCAGTAATAGACTGGACAGGCATATATGCTCTAGACACTTTTTATCAGGAAAATTCTAGGGCGCTAAATCCGTCCGAGCTCTTGAAATCCTTCCGAAGCCTGCTGCTACGCGAAAACCTGAGAATCCGTGGCTGGAATGGCCTGTGATATTCCGTATTGACTACGGACACGAAGAAGTTCGATCAAAGACTGGTCAGGACCCTAGAATGTACTCGGTTTCAACTAAGGTGAGCAGGCTTGCAATTTTAAGCTCTATAACGAATGCTTATATGGTTTGTGAAGTCTGTTCATTTAGGAATTTAATACTACCGTGAATGAATGGCATCAAAATTTTGACTGGCCTGAAGATTTTGGAAGTTGAATGGGAAAGAGATGATAAGGTTGCAGTGCAAACTCTTTGATGTCAAGCATATTTTGATCGGATTGGGTTCCTTAGGGTGCATGGAAGCTGATCGAAAAAGCTGATAATTTGCAAGTCATTGAATGCGATTTATGCACCTTTGCAATGGGATTCGTTGGTCCAGAAAAGGTACATGCAACGGAGGCTGGCACAACAGTTGATATAAATCAGTTTCGTTATAGACCGTCATTGAACAGCATGGTCTGAAAATGGATCCAAGATCCAACATTCTTACTCCCAAAGAAAAGTACAACTCAGAAGTGGCGAAGGTAACAGTTGTAACCGGACCTAATTCTGTCTATCAGTGGCTCATTTATGTTGTATGTGTTTGGGGCAGGTGACTGTAGACGAGGTCAGTCACTAGTTGTGTGGGCAATCCATAAAGGAAGACAAGCTGCCCGACAGGTTAGAATCTTGCTAGTACAGTGCATCTCAAGAGCGTAAGCTTTCGTAAGATTTGGAACACTTTCTAATAGAGGATGTTCCTAAACGTGCCCAATGTTTGATTGTAAGTAATCTTTTTAATTCCAAATCTTTTTAAACTTTAATAGCTTGATTTGAGGTTAGGGTTGTTTTCCGAACGGATCTCTTAGCCAGTAGGATTATTGGTACGCCATTAAGATGGTTCCAGAAACTGGAAGCCTTTCTACTGGGGCTACTTAGCACTGAATCTAAATATAAAAACCATTTGATACCAGTTTTATCGAACTTACGTCTAATGCTGAATAGCACTACTGAAGCCACCACCAACCTTACACCGCAATTCCACTATAACCACCAATTTATCCGAATATATG